TCATATCTGCTTCTCTGTTTTCAATTTCAATCGAATATCCCACAATCGAGGCTTATGGAGTTGTAATAATAAAAAAAATGGCATATGAACAAAGCGAGATAGATAGATAGATAGATAGATAGGTAGATAGATAGATAGATAGGAAAGAAGAGGAGGGAAACAGAAGTAGATAGATAGATAGATAGATAGATAGATAGATAGATAGATAGATAGATAGATAGGAAAGAAGAGGAGGGAAACAGAAGTAGATAGATAGATAGATAGATAGATAGATAGATAGATAGATAGATGGATATGAACAAAATAAAGATAGATAGATATGAACAAAATAATATATATATATATATATATATATAGATAGATAGATAGATAGATAGATAGATAAACCTAGTGAGCCAGACAAACCTACCGAGGTTTCACCTAAGCGGATCGTCAGGGAAGCTGGCTCTCCCTGAAGATCCGCTTCGGTGAAACCTAGGTAGGTTTGTCTGTCACAACTCTAGGTTTATCTTTAACTCTACAGTTTGTATTGAGCTCTTTAGTTAGTTAGTTGTTTACTCGTGTCGGGGTTTTTCCTTTGGGCTTTAAACCTGTATCTGTGCGATTTTTTCGACAGACTTTCATGTTTCTAGCTCTTTCTTTTTTAAAACCTTTTTTCCTTCGAGATTGATTTGATTATTGGCAAATCAAAATTCGAAAGATTTTTTCGAGACGAGTATAGTTACCTATATATATATATATATATATATATATATATATATATATATATATATATATATATATTGAGACATTTTATGTCTATACATTCTTTTTGGATACAAATATTTAAGTAAATGCTCTGTTTATAATAAACAGTATTAAACAATATTTACCAGCCTGAATGTCGAGAAATTTTCATAGAAAATATTCGTCCTCCGACAATTTTTCTGTGAAAATTTTCATTCGGACATTCCGGTAAATGTTGTTTAATACTGTTTATTATAAACAACCATTTACTTAAATATTCTTATCTATAAAAGAATGTATAAACATAAAAACGTCTTAAAATAATTTGGGACTTTGTCCATTTCATTATATATATATATATATATATATATATATATATATATATATATATATATATATATATACCGATATAATTTAGTTTCTTTTTCTTTTATTTATGTTTTTATCATTTTGTTATTACTTATTCCCCGTTGAGATAAAACTTTTTTTTTCACTGATTTTCTAACATTATTCGGGTATACAAAAGTTATATATCTTTTTCACACACACACACACACACACACACACACACACACACACACACACACTCACGCACACATACACAAACTCTCACAAACACACATACACAACAGACACACACACACACACACATATATATATGATGTCACTCAAGCCGTTACAAATTAAGAGATTTTATGTATATTGTTTTCTGAACAAATTCATTTCTCTTCGCGGTTTCCGCAAAATCTTTAATTAGTCCACCATCCGCCATTGTAATAACGAAAACAGCGCCATCTGGTGTCATCATAGTATAGGAAAAAGTTAAACATTATGTGCTTTATTAAATAGTAATATATATATATATATATATATATATATATATATATATATATATATATATATATATATATATATATATATATATATATATATATATATATATATATATATATATATATATATATATATATATATATATACACACACACACACACACACACACACATATATATATATATATATATATATATATATATATATATATATATATATATACCTCGTCATAATCTAATACTGCCCTTCATTTCAAAGAGCCGAGGCACCAAAGCTCATCGCAATGGTGCCTAGAATCTTTGAATTTAAGCGCAGTACTAGACTGACGACGAAGTCTCATCAAATTACAATTGATTTGGCTAGATGTAGCCAGAAGTTCCATGCTAAAAGTTTATTTTCTCGCAATTCTCACTTGTGGAACTCCCTTTCCAGCCCCTTCCTTCCCATCCAATTTTAGGCTGCAAATATTTAAACGCAATGCCAATCGTTATCTACTGTCCATCGAACTCTTCCACACCCACGAACCCCTTGAGTCTCAGTGGGTGTACTGCACTGTAAGGGGTGAACTCGATAATATATATATATATATATATATATATATATATATATATATATATATAATAAGTACAGATGATCCTTAAAAGTCAGTTCAGCTATAATTTATTTCATGAATATATACAAATATTCATCTCTTCAGATTGAAGTTTTTTTTTCTTTTTCTTTTTAATAAATGGAATCAATTTATCCAGACGAAAGAAAAAGAGAGAGGAAAAACGAAAAAAGAAAAGGAAAAAGTTTTAATATTAAAAGAGGAAGAAAAAAATAAAAATTTCAATATAAGGTTTAAAAAATCAGGTAAGGGAAGAAAGAGAGTCAGAGGGGGATAGAGGGTGAATAGAGAGATGGAGATAGTGAGAGAGGGAAGGAAAGAAAAGATGAAAGAATTAAACATGAGTTGATAGGGTGACCTAGAAATGTTTTTTTTTTCTTTACGGGCTGAACAAGTTAAAATACAGGGTAAATTAATGGGGGATCAGACTTAAAATATTAATGTATCTAATATTCATTTTCGGCAGCTTCATCGCATTAAAATCATCACAATTTCAAATTAATAATAATAATATTTGACATCAATAATATTTAATTAACATTTTTTATGTATTTTAATTTAATTAACTTACTTTATTTTATTGATGCCAAATATTATATATATATATATATATTCTTTTTATAGATACAAATATTTAAGTAAATATTCTGTTTTATAATAAACAGTGTTAATAACATTTACCAGCCTATTGTTCGAGAAATTTTCATAGAAAATAATCGTCCTTCGACAGGAATCGAACCTGTATCCTATACGGAACCGTCATATAGCCTGACGTGCCTTAACCGTTTCGGCCACAGAGGAGCGTTCGGTTAGCACGGTCGATTTTGCTGTCTTTAAATTACAATCTTCCATGAATTTCTCACGTACATTCATATCTGCTCGATGCGTATCCAAATGTAAACAAATGACATCACACATTATGAAATGGAAAAAGTCAGACATTTATTTTAAGACATTTTTTATGTTTATACATTCTTTTTATAGATACAAATATTTAAGTAAATGCTCTGTTTATAATAAACAGTATTAAACAACATTTACCGGCCTGAATCGGTGGCCTGACGATTGCGTTTAGCATGAAACAGTCTGTCGCCTCTGAATGTTAACTTCTGTGTTTCCTTTTATGCATACATACATACATATATATATATATATATATATATATATATATATATATGTGTGTGTGTGTGTGTGTGTGTGTGTGTGTGTGTGTATGTGTGTGTGTATGTGTGTGTAGGTTTATTCAGAGAATACAATATACACAGAGAGTCTTCTACAAGTCCTCCACGACCCTAAACGTGGCAAACCTCTCAACCAAAAAGAAATTTCTGATAGTAATATAACATATATACGAAAAAAAACAAACAAACAACCAAAACAAAAAAAAAAAAAACACACACACACAGAAAATTCTTTAATATGACCTATTGATTTTATATTAAATACAACTTCTTTTTCAATATAATTTTATTTAACATATATAAATTATGTAAATATGACTTCTTTTTAATCATAATTTATTTAAATATATCTTATTTTGAAATATAATTTGTCTTTGGAATAGTCCTTTTAATTTATGATTTTGAATTTTTAAACATAACTTTATCTATACAATTTAAATTTTTTAACCCCTTTTTATTCATCTCTTAGTTTGAAATTAACATTTCATTTTTCATATAACCCTAGTTTAATGTCTTAAGGTTAATATCCAGGTTTAAATTATAAAACATCTCCCCTTTTAGGCTAATACCTTCCACACCACCTGACCATTGTCTCGAGCCTTTCGTCTGAATGAAACATTGAAAAGGATAAATTTTGTATTATCTTTTGACGTTTTTTTTTGTATCTGTCTCAGTTAAATTTTTATATTCCGACACGAACTCAGTCTATACCGGGGTTGAATAAGACTGACTGAATTGTCTTCTGTTGAAATAAGCATATTCCCCATATGAGGTGATTTTGAATTTCACTGTATATATATATATATATATATATATATATATATATATATATATATATATATATAATATTTTTGTTTAAAAATATGATTTCTTCGCTACATAAGAGTTCTCATGTCTCAAAAACGAGAGTCGAAACCATCAAATAATTATTAAAATTAAGTTGAATTGAGGTGTTTTACTCCCGTTTCGTCTTCAAACAAAAAGACAAAAAAAAAAAGCAAAAACACTAAGGAACTCGGATTATGCACCCAACGTGTTCTTTTCTATTTTCTACATACCTGCGCACTTATATATATATATATATATATATATATATATATATATATATATATATATATATATATAAGAACAATAAAAAAATATTAAAAATTAAAATCTTCAGACACACTGGGATGTAGATTAATCTTCTTTCGTTTTTTTTATAATTATTTCATTTAGATTCCTCGACTAGTTTCGGCCAAAATGGCCATCATCAGGAGAAGAAATATTTCTGCTTGCTGGTAGCAGTGAAACAGAAATCATATATATATATATATATATATATATATATATATATATATATATATATATATATATATATATGTATTAGTGCTGCGCAAAAGTAAGTGAACCCTAAGATGATATTTAAAATAATTTGGTTCTCTGTGTCGTGCCAGAAGATTTTTCTCGTCTGAGTCCATCCTTCAAATGCAGAAATCTGCCATTCGCCCTTGCATTGAATACTGTTGCCATATATGGTCTGGTGAACCCTGCCGTTCGACAAAATCCAAAGACGCATATGCAATTTGATAGGCCCTGACCTGGCATTTTGACTCCAGTTACTTTCTCACAGATGTGATGTGGCTTCCCTCTATCTTTTCTACAAAAATTTTCATGGCAACTGCTCTGACCAGCGATTTTTCACCGGTGCCCTGACTGGATGAATTTAAACGTGCTACTAGGTTCGCATCACGTTCCCACATTTTCACTATCAAAAAGGCTAAATCTAACCGCCTATTCTACTTCGACAGCTTATTTTCTCGCACTTCCCGACTGCGGAACTACCTCCTTCTTACTTGCTTCCCTGATAGCTATAATTTTTCAACTATTCAAATGTAATGTCAATCGACATCATCTGATGCCTTCGTCTCGATCCCCGTCTTTCTTTTTATCCTTCCGTCAAACACCTCCGATTACTCTTACTTACACCCTCAGTGATCCCTTGCGTGCTAGTGGCACTCCTGCTTTCCTTGGGTTGAAATACTTAAAAAAAAAACAACAACAATTGTCTGTGTTTTTCCAGATAATCAATAGATATTAATTAAACTATATATGCATTAAGAAAAAAACAACAAAAAACTATTAAACGAATTACAGCAACTTGAATTTTTATAGTGAGCAGGTGATGTTTATTAACACACACACACACACACACACACACACACACACACACACACATATATATATATATATATATATATATTGTATAGTACTTAGTGGAAAGCGCTCAATATCAGTGATAGAGCTAATATATATATAGAGCTAACATATATACGCTAATTAGTATTTAAATTATTGTGCTATATATTTCGAATAACAGGAGGCTATGGATTAAACAATTTTCTTTTAATTGTGTAGTAATTTTATAATCATGCATTTTAGCATGGGATAGAGTAATTTTTTCAGGGACAAAGTTGGGAAGAATTCTGGACGCAAATTTACATTTTGATAAAAGTCGATAGTTGCACTTTCGAAATATTTCCTTCTAAGTAAGAACTATTTTTTTTTTAGGTGTGGCATTAGCTAGGCCAAATTTGTGGTTTAATTTAATTCTATGTATAACTGATGGTTTTTTAAATTGTTGTGTATAAAATCCCTTTTGTGTTCATAGATACGTTTTTTTTTTTTTTTTTTTTTTTTTTTTTTACATTTCTACAAGTTTCTCCAGTGTATAATGAGGAACAGTTCTGGCAATTTTTATTGTATATACCTGCTTCAGTATTATTATTGTTATGGATAGTTTCGGTTCTGGTCATATCCATAATAGTTTGGGATGTGGTTGAAACTATTTTTATGTTGTTTAGATTGAGTAGATTGGTTTTGATAGTAGATGCTATGGAGTTAATAGCTAGCTTTATCTGTCTTATTTTGTCTAATTTATTGTTGTTAATAACGTTGTTATCTATTTTGTGGTCATATATTTCGTATGTTTATTTCTATGTATAACTGATGCATTTGATAAATTGTTGTGTATAAAATCCCTTTTGTGTTCATAGATACGTTTCTTTTTTTAAAAAATTCTGCAAGTTTCACCAGTGTAGTATGAGGAACAGTTCTCGCAATTTATATTGTATATACCTGCTTCAGAATTATTATTGTTATGGGTAATAATCGATTGAATGGTGGTCACTATGTTTCAAT